GACAAATACTGCTTTGTCAAAGCCATTTAGCTTGGTGAATCAACATTTCCCCCAGACACCAGCTGAAGGCGACCGGGATGTGCCCGTACCCCGCGCACTCGCTCCGAGAATTCTGTTTATTTTTATCACAGTCGTGGAGGAGGAGGGAAAAAAAAAAAACCAACCCAAAAAACCCACTCCACTTAGCAATAAATGAATTAATCAGGAAACTTCGTGCTCCGTCTGCGGACAGTCTGCAAGAAGAAACTCATCAGACACATCTTGATTTGAAATTATGTGCTCTGCTCGGCTCCCGGCTAATTAGCCCTGCTGATAGCAAGCCTGGGAGGAGGGCAGATAACGGCCGGTGCCCCTCCCCCAAAAAAAAGTCCTCAGCAGCGGCTGAAACTCATGCTGTGGGAGCAGCCCGTGGTTCTTCACAAATGCCGGGACTTCGGGCGGCCGCTGCGTCTCGTAATAAACCGTGCCGTGGATCTCCATGTACTTGTTGAGAATGGCCAGGAACTTCTCCTTGCCCTGGGGAGGAAGGCAGAGGTGTGAACTGCACCAGAAGATGCAGCTGACACCCACCCCCCCCAGTTATGGAGGGAGATTTAATTCTCAAACTGCTGTCCCTGAGCACCTGTGATGCTTCAGGCAAATCCACAGCAGTGCAAAACCTGCCCCCTGCACTCCGCATCCCTTGGACACACGTCCTGGACCATCCCAGGCTCCCAGCAAGCCCAGATGGCTGTGGGATCCAGCACCCTGAGCATCGGCACCTCGAGCTCCTGCCTTCCCTGCCGTCTCCGCAGGCACTCTGGAGCTGCTGAATTAAAAGTTTCAGGGGATTCAGAGGGAAGTTTGCAAAGAGCAGAGCTTGTTAATGGTCCCTTATTCACATAACAGTCCCCAGGATTTTCTCACTTATGTTTAATCCTGTTTCACTACCTGGAAAATTAAGGGGGTCGACAGTTTTCTTCTTTTGGAGGCTTTCCTCCTTTTGCTCTCCAAAGCAGCCTTACGTTTTAACAATTAACTCTACTGCAGATTTTTTTTGCTTGGAAAAACCACAAAGGGACCATCCTTTGGACACTGCATTTTCAGCTTGTTCCAGTGCTGCAATTGGCCCCAAAAGAGCAGAAACCAGGAGGGAATAAGGAGGTATAAATGGGGAATTTGAGAAAACTCCGTATGTTGCCTTAAAGCCTCTCTGAGCGCTGTATTTCTACCCTCAGCCACATATCCCTGGACTTCTCCAAGGCTAAAACCAGGTGCTTTTGGTGGGATGAGGCTGCAGGGTGAAATCCTGCACTAACACCCAAATCAGCACCGGGTTGATATCAATTCCCTACCGCAAAGGGCTTGGGGAAATGGGAGTGAAACACAGCTTATAGCCCCTGGGTAGCACCTGGCATCACCGAGCATCATCAGGGGGGAGCGATCCCCCCGCATCGTGCCGGGGCTGGCATGGGAGAGCCCCTCCACCGCTGCGTCTGAGCACCGTGAGCTGCTTCGGACCCATGGAAGTTGAGCAGCAGCCTGATCAAAACGGCTTTTCTCAGCTTATTAAAACTTCAGCTCCTGTAGCAAGCCAGAGGCGAGACGTTCGGAGGGATAGGAAATGAGAAATAACGGGAAGGCAGGTTTAATGAAATGTTTCTAAATGTCAAAAAGATCCTGCTCTGGAGATGGCACTTGTAAATTAGCACCTGGCTCCAGGAACCAGCTCAAAATAAGGAAAAGCTCCTCTTCTCCCTTATTTTATTACATGGGGTGGCACAAGACACAAAGCAATGCCCAGGCAGCCTGGCCTCAAGAAACAGCCATCAGTAAAAACCAGCCCCAGCCCCTTCACCCGGTAATAAATTACCCCAAATATGCAGCTTTGGGGAAACTGATGTTGTTTGTGAATTCTGGCTAAAAGCAGCAAACGTTCGTAGTGTGAAGTGTGGAGGGAAATGTCCGTTCTGAGGTTTTAACTCTCTTTAGTGCCTTCCCAAATTAACCTAACTAAGCTCAAAAGAAACTTCTGGATAAGAAAGGGCAGGGGAATGGTAGAAAAAGAAGACAAGATGTTACAATTCCCCTAAAATGAAATTTAGTGGGTTTCAGTAGGTTTTTTTAAGGATGCTGGGGGGATTTGGTCTCAGACCCGAGAGGTTAATGGAAAAGCCACAAACACCAGTGAACAGGAGCTGGTGTGGCTCATCCTGGCCCACCGCAGGCATCCCTGTGAGGGCAGAGCTGCTAATCCGGAAAGGTGGGGATGGGGAGGAGATGCAGCCCCCGGCTACATCAACCCACACCGATCCCAGCATCTTGGGAGGATCGAGCCCACGACACAGCAAAGTCAACTCCAGCAAAACCTTTTCTCACGCGAGAAGATGTGCGGAGGCAAAGCCCAGCAGCAGCTGGTGTGGTACAGTACCTGCAACTGGAACAGCCCCAGGTGGTGCACAAAGGGAGAAAAAAATAGAAATAAATCAAGAGACAGTGAGAATTAGCTCCTTTTTTTTAAGCCCTGGAAGGAAAAGCATCTGGCTAGCTCTGGGTAAGACAGGAGAGAGTACACAAGTCCCCTGGCAGCTATAGGAGATGCAGGGGGGATGTTTGGGGGGGGTTGGGGGTGTTACCCCCATACAGCTGCCCACCTCTCTCCCCCAGGCGTTACAGGCAGGGGTGGGCAGGGGAGCAGCCCAACCCCCTTTCACAGGGTACCTGAAAGCAGAGACAAACCATCCCTGTCAACACAGAGGAAATCACCTAACGGCAATCATTGCAATTAATTACGTAAAATCATTGATATGAAATCCTCAGTCTAAGCAGCCTGTTGGGAGGAAGCATCGCCTGGAGCAAAGACCAGGGGACGGGGTCTCACCAGCCTGTTTGCTTGGAGGTGCTGGACGTATCACATCACTGCAGCAGCCTCGGCTTCCCCTCTACGAACAGGACAAGGATGCTTCTCTACAAAACACACCCAGATCTGTGCCTCAAAAGCTCAGGGTAAGAGCCAGAGGTTGCTGCTACCTCACAGCTCTGCCTACGACTGCCCTTGCCCACTGGGATGCTCGCGGCTGCACCCAGGACACCCACCTTCCAGATGCTGGCCTCCTTCCCGTACACCACCGCCATGCTGCTCACTTTGTTGGACTTGATGAATTGCCTCTCCGTCTTGTTGAGTTCCTCCGACACGAAGCCCATGAAGGAGTTGTCGGGGGTGTGAGCTGTGGACATCGAGGGGAGAAGACACGTGGCTGGACAGATGTTTTCTGGGACCTCCTCAGGGTTGAGGATGCAGCCCCAGTGCAGCACGGGGGCTGAGATGAGCCCAGCTCCAGAGCCTTGGTGGAGCTTGGAGGAAAAATGGCATGAATCCCCATCCAAGCAGCTCATAAAATACAGGCTTTGGAACTCGCTCGAGTGACTCTTTAAAAAGTAAGGCATTTTTAAGGCCGCCAAATGGGCTTTAACAAGCCAGGAAAAAGCAGCATTTGAGTCACTCAGCACCCAATGGGTCACCAGGCTCCTTTCAGACAAGCACATCTCCGTTCCGTACCACAGACAAATCCGAATCACAAAGCTGCCTCTCACCTTCAGAACCCCAGCTGAAATAAAACCAGGCTTTCCAAGCAAAGCCACCCCGTATTTCCCCTCCCGGGAGCTGGAAGCTCCTGGCTGTGCCCTGTGCTTGGCCCTGACTCTGCTGGACCCAGCAACCCATCGCCGAGGAAGGAGCCAGGTCTCACTCCCTGGATCATTTCTATAGCCCAAGAGATGGCCAAGCAGATTCGGGAGCTCCTTGCAGGCAGGGGGAAGGAGGAGCAGAGCCAGGGAGGACAGCACTGCCTGTTCATCACCTCCTAAAGGAGATGAGACCTTCTTCTGCGGCGCCTGCGAGCCCCCAAAACCACCCCGCCGTGTCCCCGTCCCCCACTTACGGAACATGGTCATGAACTGGGTGGGCTGTAGGTTCCAGTAGCCCCAGTTGGTGCGGTAGCCACGCAGCGTGGCATACTCCTCGTGGTTGTACGCCGGCTCCGTCCCAAAGGTATCGATGACCCGGACGCGGCACCTGGGAGAGGAGACAGGACCTGAGGACCTCGGTTTGAGAAAGTCCCACTGCCAGGGCCATCTGGTGTCCCCAGGCAGCTCGTCCCTTGTCTGACCCCTGAGCAGAGGGTGCAGGAACATCCCAAGCAGCCCTTCCCAACCCACTGCTCCCTCCTGTAAAGAGCGATTTCCCCTTGCAGGGCTTTCATCTCCCCGACAGTTGCGAGAATGATGTATCTCCTGGAGACTTGTTAATGCTTTTTCCAATATCCTGGGAATGCTGAGGCAGGCATTACCAGCACAGGACTGAGGAGAGAAGGGGAGCATCAAGCAAGGGAAGAGCAAAACAAGCTGAATGCGAGAGCAAATGCATTTATAATAAAAGCAATAACACCGCTTGTCATTTTTCTCTCTAATAAAATTGTGTAGGACAGTGGAAGAGATGGGAGAAAACATAATAAATAGCAGAACTATCAGCACTAAATTAAATCGCATATTTTCCTGGCTGGTGATGTGCCAGGGGATGATGACATTTGTCTTTATGCCAAAGGAGCCAGGGATGGGGCTTCTCGCAAACACAAAAGGCCCCCGCTTCCCTCTGTGGCGGGGCCCTGTCTGCAGGCACGGTACTTGGAAGCACACACACACCCCAGGCACATGCAGGGTTGGGGGTTTTTCCCCAATTCAGTCTCTTCTAACGAGGTTTTATCTTAAACACGTGAGGCTCTCGAGCGAGTGGACCATCGCGTTCCCTGGTGGCGGGGGACACAGCAAGGTACCACCTCGCAGAGCCAGGCAAAAAAATCAAAGGTGCAATCGAAGGGTCCGACTCCTTGGACATGGGGGCTGTCCTTCGAGGTCATTAGCGTTAGTCTTTGGTTGTTAATTAACGAAATGGAGAGTAAGAGAAAGGAGTGACTTTGCTTACCTGTATTTCTTAAAGGAGAGCCCCATGTGCTGCTTCATCTGTTGGAGACCGTGGTAATCGGTGTAAATCAGGTCGAAAGGCAAAGGACTGGTCAAGGGGCAGTTTCCCCGTCCTGGAGGCACCCCTAAGTGACTGGGGAGAAGCAGGAGCGATCAGCCCCCCAGCACCACAAACACCCATTTCCCCGCCAGGCATTTCACAGGGGCCGTCCACCAGCTCCCGAGTTGATGGAGGGGAAGGCAGATGGTTCTCCTCCTCCAGTCTTTATTTCCTGAGCCAAAAACCTGAGGTTTTGGGGAGCCCCGGTCCCTTCCCATCTTTGCACGTGCTCCACATGGACAATGAGGCTTTTGCACGGCATTCCCACCCCGGGCTCACCAGCATCTCATTCGACACACACACACACTCCCCTGGACCTCTCTCGTCGAAGACACCGGATTTCGTTCGCTTTCATTGCCATCACATCAGTGACAGACTTGTAAAACCACGTCTCCCCTCCTCCCTGCCTGCAAGGCTCCCAGTTTAGCCTAAATCTCCCTGTTCCCACCCCCACACCCCTCCCAGCACACACCAGGCACCATTTCTCGTACTCCAGTCTTTACAGGTACGCACCCAGAACACCCTCCGCTTCCCCTTGACTCTGGTGGCACTGCCTGTCCTTGGATGTTGTGCACATTTCATTAACGTTTCTCACTTTTTGTGCCATTTATGAAATAGTTCAATAAAGCCGGGGCAGCCGGACCCTGGGTCTCACTCAGTGGGTTTTCAGCCAGTTCCTTAACAGCAGCTGTACTCAGCCCCTCTTCCCTCCTCCAGCAGATAAAATACATCATGAAAATCCAGATAAACTAGATCGACTGCAATCTCTTTATCAAGATCATCAGTTACCTGGCTGCCAGGGTGATACGTGATTAATCTGGCATGATACAAGGCTGGTAAACCTGCGGCATGTCTCCTTCCATTTTCAATTACCTCTGTGAACTGATGAATCCCTCTCTCCAAAGCTGTTCCACTAAGTGTACCACTGATGTCAGCCTGACAGCCCATCTGCTTGTCTGGACCACATTTCCTCCTTCTCAGGGAAACAAAGAAAAAACCAACCTGTGACACCTTCCATCTTCAGCAGGTTTCTCAAAAATCCTTGTTACATATACTTGTGATTTCTGAGTGCCAGTTTGCTCAGAAATACAAATGATCCACCCCTCCGTTTCAACACTTTTGTATTTTTTTCCTCCTGAAGACAGTAATTCCTCATCCTCACCCTCACAACCCCACTCACACCCAAAGAGCAACAGCAACATCCTCATGGACAACCAAAACGTTGAGCTGATTTGGTCTGCCCAGGCTCTGCCCCGCTCCCACCACGCAATCGCCCCGTTTCGTTCTCAGTTCTTCTAACAGGGCTGAGGAATTTCTGGTTTATTTTGCAAGTCTGAGCTCAGACAGTGTGAAATCTCACCCTTAGCTCCTGCCTGCCAAGATATCTGTCTTTGTTTTCTTCCGGGCTTTTCACTTACTCCTAGCACCTATTTGGAGATGGGAATTTATCCCAGCCATCTCTTTACTTAGGAATAAAAGCTGCAGCCAGGTTTTACATTGCCAGGCTTTGAAGCTTTCCCTCTATATGACCTCTCTTACTGGTTCTCCTAATTTCTCTGCATTTCCCTTTCTGAACCTGAGAATCCTCTTTCCAGCCCTACCTGGGGTTTATCTATTGCTCAGCTGAAGCTCAGATGGACCAAGGGTCCATCCTCTGAGGAGCACTTCCATAAGGTCCTCACCCCTTGCCCAGACCTACAACTACACACACCATTTCATCCCCTGGCTGCTTGCAGAGGACATCGATGGCTCTGCCACTCGGAAAACAGCCAAGTGATGCAGTTATCACAAGCATTTTGCTCTCCAATCTCTCACCACTCTTCACCAACAACATCAGAAGGGGACGTACGTAGCCAGTAAAACTGGCCGGCTGTTATAGATATGATAAAGGGTTCTTGGTCTGCTCCTGGCCATACCTCCCTCTTCTTCTTCTGCTATGGCTTGCAAGCCTTTGAGGGCTGGGCATCAAGATCTTTCTTCCAGCCCCATCCCTGAGACCAGCGAAGGGTCATCCCAAAATCCTGACCATGACCGTGACTCCAAAGAGCAAGTAAACGTGGAATCACATTGCTCGCCAAAGCCAGGAAAAAACCCAGAATTTCCATTTAAGGCAAAGAGCTGCGTTTGCAGCTGCTTCATTGCTCTTGTCACAAGGAATATAAGCATCAGTTCAGGGCAGCTCGGCCGGGTCAGCCGCAGGGGAAAGAGGTTGCAGTTTTATCAGTTTTATGCACAATTTTACACGACACGGCTGATTGGGAAGATGGCAGGAATAGAAAGGCGCTCACCTCCAACAGCCACCTCAGCACGATAAATAGGGCAACAAGGAGACCCACCCCTCCCAAGGAGGCTGAAGGGGAAGGCAAAATTTTAAGTCAGTAAAAAACCCCAGGATTTTATAGAGATGCAATACTAAAGATCACATTTACTCACATACATGCTGCTTTTTCCTCAGTCATCAACCAAATGGCCTCGCTGATTTACACCGACCTGGCGCTGCGGTGGAGCAACTCAGCTGATCCATAAACCTTGTATTTAACTAAAAATCCTCAAACCATAACACTTTTCTTGCAGCATACCCCATCCTCTAGCTGGTACACATCATGCAAGCTGCTGCATTACAAAATCATCCGTAATTTTAAAAAGCCCTAACCAAGCTTGACAAGGGGATGCGGGAGACACCAATTAGTGTATCTCATACCGAAGCCTCCAAAAAACTTTCCACCTGTTATGCAGAGCACATCTGGCTCCCCCGGCTCCCCCTCGTCACCGCGATCTGCCACACGTCCCCTCTCCGGGTGCTCAGGACTTGCCACGTCCATTTATAATCCCAGCACCAAGGCTGCGAGGCAGGAAGAGATCTAAAAGCAGAGCTGGTGTCTTTGAAGCAGAGCATCTCTCTCATTTACCCCCCTTGTCCTTCCTAAGCACTTTATAACCACCGATTTTAATATTCCAATCATGCAAATCCAGGCTGCACCTCCGAGGTGGGGCGGGGGGGTTGGGGGTTTATTTCCATTCCTTCTTATTTAAACCTTCTTTATTCAAGCTTTCATCATTTGCCAGTTAAGTCAACTAATTTTCTACTAAACCCAATTTCACTCATGGTTGGAGTGAAATTTCCCCGATTTTTCCTTGTGCCATGTACTATTAATGGCGCTTGAAATTACGCAAATAAAATTGATGAGCGCAAATACCGCCTTCTCAGCCAGCGCAGCCAAGAGATTTGTTTTTGAAAACCACTTGATCCCAGCTCCTGGAGAAACCTCCTCTCCCAGACTAGCCAAGGATGGCGACCAGCTCATGCCCAGGCTCAGCACCACCACAGCCCTGGCAGGTGACCCGCTGGCTTATCCCATCCCGACATCCAGGATGAGTGCATTGGCGTAGCCCTCACTCCTCTTTGGGAGAGAGCAGCCGAAGCGGCTTCAATCCAAGCAGATGCAAGCGCTGAGCTCGCCTCTCCACCAGCTGCCTCCACCAGCTGTGCCTACTCCAGAATAAATCCACAGCAGTTTCTTGTCCTGCTATTTTCCCCTTAGAGGTACTTCAATCAACCAGGGGACGCGTTCCCTTCCCGAGTGCGGTGCAGGCTCTCTGAAATCAGATGACTGCGGGGTTATCTTTACATCCCGTTGACCTATTTTCAAATTAACCCGACGTTTCCTTCCACGTTATCGCTCCTGGGGCTGAAAAGTCCAGCGCTAAATGGATCATGTGGGTATCTGCTGGCAGGCTGGGCCAATATCCTATATTATATTTAATTGCATCTTCCCTGCCTGCGTCTGCTATCATCAGCAAGGCGGACTGCAGCAGGGGAAACGGAGGAGGGCTTCTGTCCTTTCTGCTCCCTCGCCTTCTCCCTGTCTCCAAGAGCCCAGCAAGCACAGGACCGTTATCCGGGGGATGAAAGGTGCTGGAGCAGAGCCCGAGCGGCTCCCGGGGGTCTGTGCCAAGCCCATCACAAGGAATTTAAAGTGCAAATCGGAGCCCACGAGATGAACGCCCCACTGCCTGGCCTCTGCTCCCAGCTCTTCCTCCTGCTAGAAGGGACACGATGACCTCAAAAGCAAGGTTTTTCAAGCAATTACAATATGCTTTTTAAGCCACCTGCGATGGTTTTACTTTTGCAACACACACCCGATTGTTTCTCTGGCCCATCGTCGATCCCGTGTGACACAGCCTGGGGGGTGAGGTTCAACAAAACCCTGTTTTCCCATCGTGGCAGAACACAGCACTTGCTGGAAACCTTTGCAGCATATCCTCAGAAGACAGCTAATGCCAAGATTTTGCTGCTTGCAACTCCAGCGGGTCCGGACAGGACTCAGCTGGGAGTTCCCCAGGCTGGCCTGCAAAAATAAGCCATGAGGAGTGAAGACTGCTGGATCCTTTGCATCTTGTAAGGAGATTGAAAGCCTCCTGAAATGAGGAGTCAACAGTCCTGCCGAGCTGGAGGCTGGGTTTGACCCAGGAGCTCCTGGCTGGACCATCTCTGGGTGTGCTGAAACCTCCGTCCTCCCCAATTTTGCCAGCCCAGAGGGGTTCCGGGCCCCCACAGAGATGATCAACCCACCCCGCACACCAGGTGTAACCTCCTCTTGCCTATCTAAATTACCCAGCAATTAATAAGGTTATGATAACCTTTATGTGACAAAGCAGAGATTTCTGCAATGGCAAAGAAGCCAGTGAGCGAGTCGTCATTTGACTGCAAAATAAACATATTTCACGAAGGAACGCAATTTAACAGCTCGGTAATTCCTGCTAATTTATGCACCTTCCTCTCCTACAAAATGAAGCCCTCAAAGGTGGAAGAAATCCCTCTCTGCCACTCCTTACCACGGCAGGGCAGCTCATCCCCACTCCTCACGTAGCTGCTGCCAGCAAAGCTCCGAGCCGCCTCCTTGGAGGTGCTGGGAAGCTGCTGTAATTAAAGGGAGCAGCTTTTGCACTCTCGTTTTGATGTACCTGGCTTTTAATTGCAGAGCTACACGGCGGTAACTCTGCAAGCAGCTGTACCCGGCTGAAGAAGGGAG